CGGAAACGAGCTATGTGCCTGCTGTTTTAGGTATGGTTTTTGTCTGTACTTGTGTTTTGTTGAAAGATCAAAGACGAAAAATGATTGAAGTGAATTTTTAAGTTTCCCGTGAGTCATGAATCATGATTTCCTTTTTGTGATTCCCCTTTTGTGAACGAGTTTTGCGGAAGTTTGTTTTGTGATAGTAGTTCTAATCTTATTTGATCTAGTACCTCCATCCCATTATTTACTTCGGTAGTACAAATAGACGCACATCAAGAAAGTGAGTTTTGTGTGGTGGAAAGTTGTGCAAAGGAGAGAGAAATGTGTAAAAATTGTTGTGAACCACAAATTCTTTGTCAAAAAAGAGAAATGAAAGTTCTTTTTGGGACGGATGAAAAGGGAAAGTTGGAAGTATTTTTAGGGACGGAGGGAGTATATTTTTCTGATCTCGTCCAATGAGCCTTTTCAATCTTGTATGATCTGATCTGATTTGAATTTTTCTGATCTGATTTGATCTGATCTGAATCTTTCTGATCTGATCTGAATCTTTCTTATCTGATTTGTATATTTCTAAAATTATAATTATAATTAGTATAATTATAATTTATAATTATAATTAGGGAAAACTATCAAAAAAGGCCCTCGTACTATATCGAAAAAGTCAATTAGATCTTGGTACTTTAAAAACACTCAATTAAGCCCTCAAACTTTAAAAAAAACTATCAATTAAGCTTATTCACCGGTTAACTGCCGGTTTCCCGGTCAACCATCTGTTTCCCTTTTATTTTCCTTTTCTTTTTCTTTCATTTTGTTCTCTGTCTTGTACTCTTCTTCCTCGCATGGCACGAATTCGAGTTGATGGCAGTCACCACACACGGGCCACATGGCAGTCCATGGCAGTCACGACACATGGCGTCCACGACCAGGCGGCGAATGACAGGGTTTCTCTTTTGAGCATCCGACGTCATTGAGATTTTCTTGCACACGACGAGGGCTTGCTTCCTTAAATGGTGAATGGCAAACTGTTCCTTGTCCCAAAGCTCGTCCCTGACGAAAATCACAGACAGTGGTAAACGAAGATGCTAAACGAAGATGGGAAGGGAGGCTTGCTTTATGGCATAGCAGCTTTTATGGATGAAATAAAACAAAAATAATGAAACATCCTCTCTTGTAATCGCCGGAAAAGATGGCACCAGTAGTTGAATAGATCCCGGCGTCGTCCAACGCAAACCTCCCTAGTCCCTTACTAAACCATTAAAGCTTCCCCCTCTCCGGCGGCGATGAAGGTCGAAGCTAACCCCTCCCGTCTGGAAGCAACGATGCAAGGCCCACTCTGTCCGCCAGCAACAACGATGGACCTGATCTGGAACTGATTGGAAAATCAAGTAGCGGGGAAGAGTTCACATGGCAACAAGAAGCCAAGAAAGAAACAAAGAAAAAAAATGGAAACCTTAGTAATTGCCACGTGGGTTAATTAACCGGGAAAACAGCTCGTCACCTGTAATCTAGCTGAATTGATCGTTTTTTAAAAGTTTAAAGGCTTAATTGGATGTTTTTAAAGTACGAGGATCTAATTGACTTTTTCCATATAGTACGAGGACCTTTTTGACAGTTTTTCCTTATAATTATAATAGGTATATTTATTATTATACCCATTACAATAAATATAATTAAAGCTACAATTATAATTGTAATTATATATTTAACTGTAATTACAATTATACTACGTAATATTTATTTCTATAAATATTATTCTAATTACTCCATATAATAATAGTAATAACCATATTAACAAACACAACAACTATAATAATACCAATAATAAAAATAATATTAATAATAATAATCATAATAATAATAATTATCATAATAACAATCATAATAATAATAATAATAGTAATAATATTATTAATCATAATAACAATAACAACAACAACAACAATAATAATAATAATAATATAATAATAATAGTAATAAGAATACTAATAATGATGATGATGATGATGATTCAGGATGGCAATGGGGGTAGGACCCGTGGGAAATCATCCCGCGGTTCCCCACGGGCGAGTATGGGGATGGGGGGTTATTTCCTCCTCCCTTAAATATGGGGCGGGTGATGAGTTGTGCACCCCTCACCCCATCCCCGCCTCGTCCCCCGTATATACATACATATTAATAATTAATAATAATAATCACAATAATAATATTATTAATAAGGGTTTTTTACAAAAGTATTACTAAAATAATTTTTTTTATACAAATATGACTATTAATTACTACAATGTACTATCATAGTAACCCAAGTTTAGAAATTGAACATAAGTTTCTATAATTTCATTGCTACCCTAGTCACTGGTCACATTTGTGTAAACAATCTTCATTTTCATCATAACTATGTAATTACTAATACGAAGTAATTAAAATAGCATGGTGACCCGGTGGGTTTAGTTGTTTCCTATCCAATGGGTTGTGCCTAGTGGGTCTATCTAATTCTTGTTTAACAACTCAGCTATCTTGTAAAATTGGTTATCAAAATCATATAAAGTAAAATGAATTTGGGAAATTATTAAGTGATATTAGCTTAAACGCCTCAGGCAAAGTGTGAATGTTTTCTTCTTTTACTATTATAGTGCATTAATTCTTTTCTTATGAATGTCATCTTTATGATTATAGTTAGAGCTCTTAAAAAACTGATGACCATAGGCCGTCCTAGATGTTGTCAAATGACCATGGTTGATTGAATGAAGGGCTTAGGAAAATATTATAGAGCTAATCAATACTAATAAAGTATTTGATAAAATGACTAAATCAAAATGTGTATAATGTATTCGAGATTTGAAATGGCATGTAAGATTACATTGACACTTAAAAACTAAAATATTTTTTGGATACATACTAGAAGTGTTATTTGATTTTTGAAAAATTGTATGTGTCTAAAATAGTGTTAATTTTTGACGAATGTTTCCCTCGTTGGGTACCCGTGAGATTTGCAGATCAGGGCGGGGGATGGGACGGGTCGAATAGTAGTGGAGGATGGGGCAGGGGTGGGGGCGATTTTTCAGACACGGAGCGGGGGATGAGGGAGTGAGCCCCTGCCCCAACCCCGCCCCATTCTCATCCCTAATGATGATGGTTGTGGTGGTGGTGGTGGTGGTGGTGATGATGATGATGACGACGATAATGATGATAGTGATAGTGATAGTGATAATTATAATCAAACAATAATAGAAATAATAACAATAATAACACCAACAACAACAATTATTATTATTATTGAACTTTTCTGGTCTGATCTGAATGTTTCTGATATGATCTGAATGTTTATGATCTGATCTAAATGTTTCTGATCTAATCAGAATGATTCTGATCTGATCAGAATAAAATAAAAAGAACTAATAAGTAATAAGAATGAGACAAATAGAACAGCTTCTGAGTATATATTGGACATGTTTGGTAAGTGATTGATCAGCCATTTTTCACCTTATTTGGCCAATTTTAGTTGGTTTGACCAGCTGAATTGTCAAAACTTATGTTTGCTAAATACTTTCTCCGTCCCTTAAAACTTTATCATTTTCCCATTTTGGACTTTCCAAAAAACCTTGTCACTTCCCTTTTAATCAATTATTTTGTGGTTCATGTTATTTCTCTCTCCTCTGTACAAATATCAACCACACAATTTGAATTTTATTAGTCTACCTGCCGATCAAACTTGGAAAAGTTTTAAGGGACGGAGGTAGAAGCTCATAAGATTAGATGATTGCTCTCCAAAAGCTAAGTTTCAAAACGCTAGTAATAGCAGCGTTTTTGCTTGGCTGGATGCTATGTAATTATTTAATACTCCCTGAGGTTTTTAATTAATTTTACACTTTTCTTTTTGGACCGTCCCATATTAAACTTTACACTTCCTTATTTGCCTTATTTGGCAAACAAATCTACATCAAATAATGCAAAATAGTGTGAAAAAAGTGTCAAAAGTGTCAAACTGCGTTAAAACAGTGTACTCGATAGTAAAATTTACCTCTCAGTCAATTTATTTCTTTAATATGTGTGAAGTCAAATTGTAAACTTAATTAAGAAGCGGATGGGGTATATATTTAAACTTTCATGCTACTTCAATTCCATTTGGCGTTTTGTCTTCTGTGCATCCAGTTAAAAGTTTGACGAGTACAAACTACAAACCACGCATCTTTAGAGGCCGTTTGGCAACCCTCATTTTCGGCTTATCAGGCTTATCAGTCAACTTTTTTATCAAACACGTAAATTTTGTTTTCGCGTGCTGAATTGTGTAATAAGCCGAAAAAATAAGGTTGAAGTTACTTTTCTGACTGTATTGGCTGAAGTTACTATAGATGACCATTTTAGCTATTTTTACATATAATTTTTTCTTTATTTTATTAATAAAATATATTTTAAAAATATTTTTTTCTTGTGTCAGCAGAATCAGCCAATGCAGTCACTTCAGCCAGAATTTAATAAATTTCAGCAGAATCAGTCAGAACAGCCGATTTTCGTGCTGCCAAACGTGCTCTTAATCTTTATAAACTCAGTGTTGCTAGTTTATTTCTTTATTTATGCATATGCATAAATAAATAGACTTGATTTTTTTAATCCATATTATCCACATTAAATTAAAATGTTTGTTTCCATTTATTTTATTTTTCATGCAATTTTATGATTTTTATCTATCAATTTCTAAAATTTGAACGATGTATACTCTATATCTAAATGTAGGTAATATGATAGTATTATTTTTATAAGCAATAGTTAAAAATGCAATGAAATAGTAATGTCCTTATATGTCATTTTACAATCAAACAGTCATTCTTAAGCAATTAATTTACCAAATATTTGATGACAACAAACTAACATAATCAATCAACCAAATTAGTTGACACTTTAGCTATTGTCAATCAGCTCTCATAACTAGTAAACAGCTAACGGCCGATTGCCAAACAAGGCTATTGTACTACTATGAATAAAAACCTTTTGCAAAATCCAAAATTCCACGACTCCAAAAATCCCAAAATAGCAATGAACACCTTTTGCAATTTTTTTAAGGATAATAAAACATATATGGAGTATTAAAAAACGATCAAAACAAGAATTACAATTAGTGAATAACTCAATCTATATCATCTATCTTCTAGCAAAAGACACTATTTAGATTCAACAATAAAAATCCTACAATCAGGCTTTGAATCGGGCACATCCAAAGAATCTGCGCTAATTGTTGATCACTAAACCGACTAATGGGGTTATGGGACTAGGCCCAGAGCCTAATCGGCCCAGGCCCCGAACTTGGACCAGTAGGCCCAAGCCCAGCAACCCAGAGCTCGAGTCGGTCCAACCGATCAGGCCAATCAAGGAGCGGAAGCCCAAGAGAGCCTGTCGTCCAGTCCAGCGGGGGAGCCTGCCTTCCAGCCCGGCCAGGAGCCTGCCTTCCAGCTCAGTCAGGAGCCTGCCTTCCAGCCCAGTCAGGAGCTTGCCTTCCAGCCTGGCCAACGGCCTCCCTTCCAGCCCGGCAAGGAGCCTACCTTCCAGCCCGGCCAACGGCCTGCCTCCCAGCCCAGCGGAAGCCTGTCGCACGAGGAGCTCAAGCGTTCTGTCTGCCAGCCAGGCCGACCTGCCAGCCAACCAGAAAGAGTAACGGCCAACAATCAATGCACTATTATTTATGTATTTAATTCCGTATTAATGTTGTAATTAATTTAGTCATCATTATGTTCGGCAGTTACCATTTGTAATCGCCTATAAAAGGCAATTCAAATTTCAAATAAAGATATGTTATTTCTGGCTACCGAAATTCCCTTTGCAACTTTCCTTATTCATATTACTTTCTTGATTCCTGCTTGAGTGTCGTACGTAGCTTTCCTAAAAGCTTACGAACGTCCTATTTTGGACCAACAATTCTAACATTTTTTACAGAGGCAAATCTACCATTTTTTTCCTAATGAAGGTTTTTAATGAGGCATCTCCCCAACATGGACAAGGGCGGAGATCTTCTAGTCTCGGAGAAGAGCAACTGAGTTGGATTACTCCCTCTTAGCTGAGTCTACTACTCGACTAAGGGAGTGGGGGACTCGTGATGGAGTTATGGGACTAGGCCTAGAGCCTAATCATCCCAAGCCCACAACCCGGAGCTTGCCTGCCAGCCCAGCGGGGAGTCTGCCAGTCCGGCCGACCTCCCGGCCCGAAAGAGTAACGATCAAGCAATTAATGCGCTATTATTTATGTACTTAATTCCGTATTAATGTTGTAATTAATTAGTCATTATTATCGGTAGCGGTTACGATTTGTATACGTCTATAAAAGGCGGGTTGTAATTTAGATTAGGGGACAACTTCTATAAGCTATTTCTGGCAACTAAACACGTTTAGCTTCTTTCCTTATTTGCATTATTTTCCTGATTTCCTGCTTGAGTGTCGTACGTAGCTTTCCTAAAAGCATACGAGCGTCCTATTTTGGACTAACATCGACAACATAGAGTTCTTACAAAACCTTAAGGTCACCTTACTCTTGACTACTTCATTAACTTTATAATAGCCAAAAGATCCCTTCAGTTTTCTGATCAAATATAGAAAACTTCACCCCAAATTTTTCACTGAACATACAGAAACTTCAAGGCAACTAACGACCTTATACATGTGTTTTTCTTCTCTGTATAAGAATAATTACCATCAATTTAAAAAATTGTAGTCTTATTTTGGAATACATATGTGAATATAAAAAATTATTTAATATTTTGGACTTTCATGCATTTTACGATACATAATACTACCTCCGTCTCTCTAAGTTTGGGACAAAAAGGTGTGGTGCATGTGGTGTGGTTTTAAGAAAAAATAGAATTATGCGGTTGATATTGAATTGATAAAGTGTGAATAAAGTAATAATAAATTGAAACCGCTCAAATATTACCAAATATTGTATGGAACAAACCTAATGATTGGACGCAAAAGGTAAAACGGGACAATGTTATGCGAACGGAGGGAGTAGTTCATAATATCATTGAGCTCTTTCAAATGTTATTGGCATATTCATGACTTTATTGGGCTGGGCCTCTTTAAAAGACTATTGGGCCAACATCAAATTCTACTTTGACCGCTCGTGATGGATGCTGAGCTTTATCATGTTATATGGATCCCTTAAGATGAAACTTAATGATTAAATTAATTTGAATCGTTTAAAGACGTCCAGTTAATTCAATTATTAATTTTAAAGTAATGGACCGGTCCTATTAAATTCTCTATTTTAGAATCCAATATCGAATAGTGGCCTAAAATATAAGAGATGTGATCCAATTTATGAAGACGATAATAAATCTAGTCAAAAAGTATGTCTATGTGCATGGGAAATAGCAACGAATGTTTTTAAGAAAGCTTTTCAAATACATGACATAAATGGTGATTTTTCTAGTTATGAAAATACAATCAAATGTTTAATTATTTGAGAAATAAGAAAAGTAAAAGTTGTATTGTTGAAGTTTGTGCAAATAAGAGTGAAATAAGCAGAATAAAAAATTAGTTGTTTTAATTAAAAAGTGACAATTTTTTTTTGAACAACTAAAAATGGAAATTTGGCAAAGTCCAATGAAACGGAGAGAATAGATTATTGCGAGATTGACGATCCGAAAGGACTCTGGATCTTTTCTGTTTTATATCCAATCGCATATAATCTTAAGTTATTCATTCTCTTGTATCTCTGCTATATTTTAATAATATATACGGAGTAGTTATTTGATTTTCAAAATAACTTATCAATCAAAAATAGAAATCTATATATAGAATTGTCATTAAACTATTATTATTCGGGTATGTAAAATAACAGTCGAATTGCCAATTAGATTAAAATTGAGAGAATTCTCCAAATAGGAGCAAAACATAGGCAAAATGCAAAAATAGAAGTACCATGTGTTGAATAGGAGTAACTTTAGTGTTTGGACAAGTATACCCCTACCCAAGCCCCAACAACTTTTAATTAAATGTTTAATTCATAATAAATTCGAAAAAAATTCAAAAAATCATAGAAAAATAATTAAAAAATTTACAAAATACTAATAAAATAAAAAAATTAAAAAAAAATTAAATTTTTTTATTTTTTTAAAAAATAGTAAAACTCCATAAAAAAATTTAAAAAATATGGATGCCTTTCCCACCGCTTGTACTACCTCCCTGCACCACCACCTCCGGGCGGTGAAAAAAAATTTCCATTTTTCCTAAAAACCGTATTTTTTCTGAAAATGCCAAAAACATGACATATTTCTCTTTGCGAATGCCAACATTTTCATTGTTTTCTGCCATAAATATGGCATTCGTAATGAACTTGGCATTTTTTCCTCGGTGACTGGAGGTGGTGGTGCTGAGGCGGCAGAGGCGGCGGTGAATTTTATTTTATTTTATTGAGTTATTTTAATTTTTTTTTAATTTTTTGAAAAATAAATAAATAAATAAATTATTATTATCGAATAAGTCATAAATTAACTAGGTTAGGATTAAATAAGTCATATTTTAGAATTAACTAGGTTATGGATATTAAGGGTACAAAATTAATGTTTACTCCTATTGAAAGAAGTTTTAAGTTTTACTCATATTTGTTCAATTATGTTTATATTTACTCTTATATTGGGCAATTTCTAATTAAAATTCAACCTCTCAGAACTTTTAAAAAAGCAAGAATAAAAAGCTCCCAAAACTGGAAAATCTCGGTCACCTACAAGCATAACCAAAAACACCTACCTAGCTGCCCGTGACATCAGACGTACTCTAGAACAGCTGCCCAAGAAATAATCTCCGTGTAACAATAACAAAAAAACCAGGCCATCTAGAAGATAATGACGTCACTCTGCACCGTACCAGCCCATGGATTTACTTGGAGCGGTAAATGTAAATCTACCCTTCCAAGAACCCAGTCTTGGTTAAGATGGCATTCCTCACTTTGCTCAGATCTCTTCCTTTCAGAGTCCTTCCAATACCTTCACACATTGAGAAAGAAGCAATTTGTGTTCTTGCAAGCCTCCTAGCTATGTATTCATGTGGTGGGACCATCCCTTCATCTTCTTCTTCTCCATCTTCTTCATTCCCCTCCTGGTAAATCTTTGAGGACCAGTCTGGAATTTTCATAGGAGATGTTGACTTATGATCATCTACCCTGCAGTTCTTTCTCTGTGTCAGCCTTCTTGGTAAAGGCCATACAGAAGAAGATGAAGAAGAAGAAGATGGAGAAGGTTTCCTCATCTTCATATTCATCTTCTTCACTCCTGATGATGAGGAATTATCCATATTCCTATCCCCATCCTTTGAAGAGGCCCAAACTACTTCCTCTTCTTGGAACTCTGCATTTTCTGTGGCCTTTCCTCTTCTTACCACAAAGTTTTCTTCCATTTTCAAGAATGGGTGAAATTCTGAGGTTTTTGAAAATACCCTTTTCTTCAAAGATCAGATAGAGCTGAGGGATGTAGCTAGGTGAGGTAAGTAATTAATAAAGGCCGAAAATTTGAACAACTCTTTACTGTATGGCTTACTACAAAGAGAAAAGTGAAGAACTGCACAAATTCATCACATATATAGAAAATGATTATATCAGTACGTGTACCTTAACTGGATAAAAGAAAAACTTAGGGTGCTGTGTACAGTGTAAAACTGGAAAGTGTCACGAAAGAAAGTTATGATGATTATTCATTCCCACTCTGCCCCATGTTCTGAGCTTCTGATCCTAAGCTTGTATGGTGGGTACCTGATCTTTTAATTTTTGAAAACAACAAAATAACAGCACACGGGAAGTCTAGGTCCTTCGGCCAATAAGTCACTATTTTACACAATACTCAATTTTTAACCAACGGGCATTGCAATGTACTCTGAGGTACTCATATAGAGGTGGTGTAATTATAAATAAAGTGATACTCCGTATAATTGATATCGAAATGATTAAGTAATAATACAATAATAATTATTTAAAATCACACAAGTTATATCAATTTTAATACGAGACAATCTTAGTGAGACGAGACGAAAATGAAAGATAGGATAATCTTAGCGAGACGGGAGAAGTAATCAAGATAAATACGAGTACTCTATAACATTTAGAACCTGTTTGGTGATCTCTGTTTTTGTCTTATCAATCTTATCAGTCTTATCAACAAAATATTTCAATAAGTATGAGACTTTTTATTTCGCACGGTGAATTGTGTATTAATCAAAATAAGTAACGTTAAACTTACTATTTCTCTGAATTGGCTAAAGTTGAATAATTTAACTTTTTTATATATTTTTTTCTTTATTTTATTAATAAAATATATTTTGCATATACTCCCTCCGTCCTTAAAACTTTTTCAATCTTTACATTTTGGGATGTCCCAAAAAACTTTGTGACTTTCTCTTTTAATCAATTGTTTTTGTGGTTTCTGTTATTTTTCTCTCCTCTACACATCTCAACCACACAATTTTTACTTTATTTATATTCATGCCGGTCAAACTTGGCAAAGTTAAGGGATAGAGGTAGTAATTTTTTGATAATTCAACAGATCTAGTCAATTTAATCGATTCAACTGAAACTTAATCAATTTTAGCACAATCAGCTGATTTCAGTGTTACAAAACGGGCTCCTTATCTAAACTGCATTTGATAAATGCTATTTTTGATTTTGAAAAAGGTTGTTTATGATTTATCAGCCATTAGTTTTATTTTAGTAGTATTATACTAAAAAGATTAAATATTACAGAATACTTTTTTTTTCATTTCCCATATTTTCTACAATAGGTAGCATATTATTAGACTTTTTAAAGGAGATTGTGAAAGTAGAGCATGATAATTCAAAAAGAAAAACGGGCAAAAAAGGTAACTCAATTCAAAAAGATGATGAGACGAAGAACAAAAATTGCATGTGAAACAGAAAATGAAAAATTATGATAAAAATTTCCAAATGTGTATGGAAATTAGTAAACTAATGTTTTTTTTTCATCTCATTGAATTTTTTCAACTATTTTTTTATGAGGAAATATAATTAAAACATCTCCAATTTTGAAAGGGTGTGAAGTGAATACCGCAAACTTGTGCATGTATTAAAAATATCAAGAACTTTATATATATGTTTTATTAGCAGCACAGTCATATGATTTTTTTCACAAATGTAGTTTTGTGGTGTTAAATAAATAATTTAAATACATTTAGCATTTACGAGAATGCAATTAACACTCAAGCTCTTAACTTCTACTTATGGAATAACTAATAATTCATTAGTTTATACGGAGTATATTTTAATTGTATCCTCACAAATGCAAATATTTTAAATTGTGTACTTAACACCATAAATTACATTTGTCAAAGAAAACTCATTTGATTATTGGTGCTAACATATCTTTTTATATAAAGTTCGGGATATTTATATTACATGCGCAAGTTAGGGTGTTCAACTCACACGTCTTCAAAGTTGGGTATATTTGAATAATTATCACCTTTTTATTTGTTCAAAAACTTTGTCATTTTTTTAAAATAATAAATCTGTGTTTCTCTTATTTCTTTTTCCACTGCACAAATCTAAAAAACACAGTTTTTATTTTTCTTATTCCACACTTAAAATAAAAATGAAAAAATCCAATAGAATAAAGAGAATAAAAGACTTTCCAAAACAGAATAGGTATATTATTTTCGTTATTTTCTTTATCTATAGAACTTATTTTACATAAAACTTCCTCGTAACTCATCAAATGGACACATATATTCAATTATTATAATGTTTCAAAAGGTTGAATCCTCAATCCCATGTACCTGTTCACCGACTCGCGACAAGACATTTGAGAAGTTGTACGTCACGGTTGGTTAAGTAAGTTAAATGATTGTAGATCTTGTATTCATACGTATCAGAGGTCCAACTCAATAACAAGAACAATAACTACCATACGATTGTTGCCCGTTTCGATCTTTAATTAATGTTACAACTTTCTCGTACTCTTCAATTGTTCCTGCGACTTATATTCAATTATTACAAAGGAGGCTCACAAGGAAAGTGAATGAAAAGTAAATGGAAACGTGGACATCACTTTTATGGGCGAGACCCTTGCGTTTTTAGGACTAAAGAGACAAAGGGGAGAAAGGAAGGAAACGGGGGTAAGAAACGTGAGAGCATTTTTGGCCAATCAAGTGAATAATAATAATTTAAAGCGAAATGGCCATACTTATATCGTGGACTTGGTTTCCAACATGAACTCAACCAAGTGGTGCCTGTCGTAATACGTGGGGGCGGCGGGGCTTAAATAGGCCTTTTTATCCCATATTACTAAAATGAATGAAAAAAATAAATTTGTAACCACTTTTAAATTTTGGTGGTACCCATAGGGTATCATACTTTTATCCACATGAATCAATAAAAACGTTGCATTTGAATTATTTAAGTCTAAATTAAAAATGATATACCTATTTGAACCAATCAAGTGGATGGTAGGTACGGTATCCCATATTTTAAATGAGTACCGTAGTTTTCACCTTAATTTTTTCCAAAAATGTGATTAAAAGTCATATTCCTTGTATTTAATCATTTTAATATTCATTTTATATATTTGATTAGTAGTCCTATGACCGCCGATCAACGCCTCCGTCGGCACCACCGCCACTGCCGGCGTCGACGCCGGCACCACCAGCAATGCCACCAGACCGGTACCACTGCCACTGCCAGCGCGACCAAAGTGACTCCGGCCAAAGTGACCGCCCCACCGACCACAGTGACTGCCTCATCGGTTAATCACTCCGGCCACCCGCACACCAGTCATAGTGACAGCCCGCCACTCCAGTGACTCCGTCACCACAGTGACTGTCTCACCGCCCGGAGTGACTGTCTACCGGCCACAATGACTGCCCTTTCACTGCCCGCCGGTCAGAGTAACTGTCTGCCCACCGCATACCGGACCAGAGTGGCTGCCCTCCCACCGGCCACAGTGACACGCCACGTTTTCGGACAGTGACATGTCGCATCTCCGGCCAGTGACACAACGCGTCTCCGGCCAGTGACCCGCTATCTCCGGTGTCCCCAGCTCCATCCCCCCTATCCCTCCCCTGCTCTTCACAGACCACAGAGCCCCGTCCCCAACCTACCCTGCCCTTGCATCGTCATTGACCACCGCCCCAGACCCGGCCACCTGCCCAGCCATCTCCCCAACCTCCTTTGATCCCCCTGCCAGGCTGCCACCACCTCAGCTCGACCGCCAGCTCCCCCACCCCAGATGTAGCCCAAACTGGACCCAAACAACCAGATCCCCAACCCCCTCCGATCCCCCTGCAACCTACCCAGCCCCAAGCTTGACCGCCAGCTCCCCCACCCCAGATCTAGCCCAAACCGGACCCAAACACCCCAGATCTGCAGAGTCCGGACAAAATAAAGGAGAAGAAGAAGACATCGGAGGTGAGCGATGGATGTCCCCCTTGCTCCGAGCTTCTCGTCGCTGGTCGGAGCTCCTCTGCGTCGGTGGTCCGCTGTGAGAGCATCACAAACCTCGCCGATGAAGGAGGACAGTGAGGCAACATCACGCGAAGGAGGACGGCGAGGCGACGTCGTCGCGCGAAGGATCTCCCTTCCCAGTGATGGAGATTAGCGACACAAGCGGCCAGATTGTCCCTTCCCAGCGACGCAAGCAGCTGGATTCTACATTCCAAGCGGCGGCAAAGATGTGAAGAGAGGCGCAGACCTATCTGAGAGTCTCAGACGCAGAGAAGGAGAAATGGATGAGGACTGCGCAAGGTTGGAGATGAGAGCTGCGAGGAGAAATGAAGGAGGTTGGATATGCGACGGAGGAGTACGGAAGGTTGGATATGAGAGCTGCGACGAGAAATGAAGGAGGGCTGCGATGAAGGAGGGCTGCGTTGAGAATGGGATGGGTTACGGAAGAGTACAAGTCATATTTTTGGGAAAAGAAAAATAAGTCATATTTTTAGAAATGGAAAGCTGATTAGTAATATTGAGGCCATTTTTTCATTTAAATATACTTTATTTTTATCATATACCCCAGCATTGGCGGCTCTCCCTACCGGCGAAAACAATGCCTTTGTATGGTACCCAGATTTTGGGGCTTCCGCTCACATGACTCCACATGAAGGTATTTTAGCTCGTAAAACTGCTTACACTGGCTCCTTTTCTGTTCAAATTGCAAATGGTAATAATCTCTATGTTTCTAATATTGGTACTCTGAGTTTAAACACTGCCACTCGCCCGTTATTATTAAAATCAGTCCATCATGTTCCGCATATTAAATATAATTTACTATCTATTTAGCGTTTATGTGCGGATAATGATTGTTCTGTCATTTTTAATAAAAATTCATTTTTTGTTAAGGACAGTCAAACAAGAGTCATACTTCTCCAAGCCTCCAACATGGACTCTGTCTATCCTTTTAGAGCAACTTACCAGCCACCCACATCTCTTGCCTTAAAGATTACACTTGTTCCTGGCCGAGTCTGGCACAAATGCCTTGGTCATTGTGGGGATCACATTTTAATGTCTCTTAAGAAAAACAATTTTATTACTAGTACTAGCATTTTTTCTCATGACCGTGTTTCTTTTAAACTGTGCAAGTCTCATCGTCTTTCTTTTCAAGATGTTATACATGATTTTACTGCTCCTCTTCAGCTTATACATTCTGGTGTTTGGCAATCACCTGTGCTGTCTAATCTAGGTTTTAAATATTATGTCTCTTTTATTGATGACTTTTCTCGTTTTACTTGGGTATAGCCTATGCATAAAAAATCTGAGGTTTTTCGTCATCTCTGCAATTTCAACACTATTGTGGAAAATTTATTTGAACGCAAAAATAAATATTTTCA